AAATAATGTATTATATTTAACTATTTTCTTGGGAATTAAATTGTTTAAATATTTAAACAATTACAATCTCAGACTTCTATCCATTACTTCTCGCTCAAAAAGTGCTGACCGTCCCGCTATTAATTAATATTCAATAGTTTGAAGTAAAAACTGCAGCTCTCCTTTTAGTTATCTGGTAAGGTTGAACGGGTTCTTAACAAACCATCTAACATTTACTCTAATGAAATTTAACCCATTGATTAAAGTGAGGTCCGTCATATAAGGTTTACCTATTTTATTTTATATTATATGTATAATATATAGTTCAAATAAAAATTGTTGTGTTATGTAATTAGAGATAAGATTTTAAAAGTTATTGTTACATTCTAAGAGCTGATACAATAAATAAATATATATATATTAAAAAAGAAAAACCTTTTTTTTAAGTTCTAAACATATAAAATGCAAAACAAAATTACTAAATGACAACACCGTTTTTTTTAAAGGATATATGAACAAAATAATGTGTTCTCGAATAAATAGTAACTATTTTTAATGCCTATAACATTGAATATTAAATGCCCTTTTTAAAAGGTGTATTAACACCTGGATTAAACATTAAATAAATAACTTAAATCAATAAAAATATGTTTTATAGTTCCTAAAACTTATTGAATTCATGTTTTCTAGTTTAATATTCTTGCCCTGTTTCAGTGTTTTACTTGTTTCAAATAAATCTATAAAAGTTAAAACAAATAAAATTAATTTAATAAATATTAATAATATTGTTAATAAGAAACTTGTTCAGTACCAGGAAAAAAGAAATAAAATAGAAATTTATTTGTATTGAAAAAAAATATCTCAAATCGAATAAATATACAGCACATGTTCATTAAAATTTCATGCAAATCACAGATGACATAATATTTTTTTCTTTATTTTTAGAATTATTTTTGTTCTCAAATGAGTGGACAATAACTACTCGTAAACAACATTCACTGAATTCGCATGAGATTAATGCCGAATATCTTTTGAAATCAAGCGCACTTCTTTATGTTTTCTGGAAGTGGTTTCAAATCAACAGGCCGTAAATTATCAACCACAGCCGGGACATACACAAAAAAGTGGTTGCATAGCAGCCAATCGACTCCATCTAGTCTACCAGTAGCTAAATTAATTAATTCTAAAATTTAAATATTATTTTTTAAATCAAAAATCAACACATTTTCATGCAAATATACGAAGACAATAGACATTTTTAAAATTCAAATTTGTACCGGATGTTTGAACTAAAAATGGATTCTAAGCTTTATTCGATAAAACTTTTTCTAAAATTTTTTCAACGGATGCACAAAGCTTCTCATTTGCTGTTGAAACAAACAATTTAAAGCTTTACACATTATAATGGCGGCAAGTTTAGACAAAAGCTAAATAGCCTGGCACTTAGACTGTATTGTTATTTATGAAAGTTCAAATAAAATGGTATTTGTAAAAACTTACAGTTCACCGGAAAGCTTTGGAGAGCTTTTAAGCTTTTCTTAGGTAAAAATTAACCTAAAATATACAGCTAGTTTAACTAAAAATCAAAGAATGATTTCATAGAAATCATAGAAATATCTGCAGAGATTCTCTTTATAAGCTATTCCAATCATTATCATTGGTTTCTTTAACTGCCTAAAGAACATAGGATCTGAGGCATTTTTAAAATAAGCATGCAGTCTATCATAATTACTGCATTTGTAGTCATAGTCTCACTTCACCATGTTTTTAATGCAGCATTAATTTTACGTATAGCGTATCAAGTCACAAGCTTTAGAGCTCTTTAAGCTTTCGCACAATAAGCTAAGTTTTTATGGAAATAAAACCTATGCAGCCGTAAATGTATAGTGTGAGGTTTCTGTATTAACTTGTTTTCGTGACCGTTGAAAAATTCATTAATTACCCACTGCTTTAAACACCTAAAATTCTGCTACTATCTTCGTAACATACGTGGACGGATCCAATGGGAGTTATTCAAATGCACGTTTATAAAATACTTTGAAATAAATAAAACCAAATTGATTAAATCAAAAATCGTGAATTCCCAACTGATGAGCGATGTTTTTTTATTGAATTTTAAGATCATCTATCAATTGGAATAAATTTTTGGATACACTCGTGCCCTTTAAATCAGTTTTATTAGATATGTCTAAATAAATAAAATGACTGGAAGCTTCTTAAGTATGTATTTCTGGGACAGTTCTGTATAATTATATAATTATACAAAAATCAGTTAATATGTTTATTACATCTGACACATCATTTTTTATGAATTCGTGGAACTATAAAAAAACTCGTATATATCAATACCGAAATACTCTTTTAAAATTCTGGTCTATATAAAATTTTATAATAGATTACTTAATAGATTAGTAATTTTATTATTTTCGATTACTTTCTAAATTTCACACAAAATAAAGAATAATAAGTTTAAGTAAAGAGTTATGATATTCGTGGATTTGGTTTACTAGCTCTATTTACGTGATATATGTCTAACAGAACATATCCTACTCTGCTTAGACGAAAGTCTATGTTAAAACTGAGAAAATACACTAAAAACTTTATGGTTCTGTAGTCATACAGTTCGTGTATTACAAAGAGATTATATTTGACATGATCTGCGTGCGCCTTTTTTCAAATCTCATACATCAAGTCCGATTAGTGCACCCCCAACTTGACCATTCCTTCATAGAATCGTAGAATCTAGCTCTACGCCTTTTCCTTCAACTACCGCTTTAAATACCTTTTTCGCTTCATTCAGTCTAACGACATAAACAACCTAGCAAATCCCAGCAAATGATAAAGTTCGTATCGGTCTTGGTTCATTCGAATGCGATAGTTGTCGCCAACTCGTAGAAGACCAATGATCTTAAGAAAAACTTTTTTTGGCTCAGTTCACATTATATCCGCAAAAACTGATAGTGTGGTGTAACATTTAAACTAGAGAAGAGGAAGACCCATGCTTGTTTGAAAATGATGAAGATGTTACCCAAAATATCAATTATAACCCTTACAGACACTTGACGACCGATTTTGGTGATATGGATGATGAAGAGTTGTGGTTAAAAAAGGTTTCATATTGAAAAGTAATATGAAAAAAATATTATTTACATTTTTAGTTTCTAATAAATTTTGTTGGTTAATATAAGCGTTATATAAAATTTATATACTGGTCCGATAAGTTTTATTTCTGAAATTGCGGTTAGTAATTGAAATTGGGTCCAATATTTGAAACACATTCTACTGAAGATATTACACTTATATAAAAATAAAATATATTTCAAATATTTTTTTAAATTTTTAAAATTCTATTTTTTGTATAATAATAATGAGTTTATTTGAAGTATTTTTTAAATATTTTATTAATTTGATTATAAATTTGATTATAAAATTGTTTAATAATAATAACTTTACTTGAAGTATTCCGCATGAACGAAATAATCATTTCAATATATATTAAATTGAATTAATATTCATTAAATCTTAAGTTAAAATTAATAGACAAATTCGATTTGAGGTTTTTCGTAATGATAACCATCATCACGTAAATTATATTCCTTCCTCTTCTCTTCACTAGCATTCGAGTCTGCATAAGAGTATGTTGGAGTATTTAGTTCAGTAGGAGTTAACTCCTCGCCAGGTGCATAAATAACTACAGGCTTAGGATTGACATGTTGATGTTTCTTT